TGAGAAGGTCGGCATCGCCGCAGGCTCTCTGAAGAAGACCCCGACGGAGGCGGCTCTGGCCATGGTCGCGGCCATGGATAAGAGGACGAAGGCGGTCAAGACGAAAAAGAACGCCGAGGCGGTGAAGGCCCCCACGCTTGCCACGGGCAATGCTGCTAAGAAGACGACGCCGCCTGGCAATGACAACGCGGCAAAGAAGACGACGCCGCCTGCCACGGGCAACGTGGCTAAGAAGACGCCGCTCCCCACGGGCAAGAAGACGGACGGCGCGGCTGGGAAGGACAAGCAGCGCAAGTGGGCGAAGCCGAGGTGGGAGATGCAGACCACACGCAACTTGGCGAGCGGGGTTGAACCTCCCACCGATGAGGCGTCGGGCGCGCGCGGCGATTCCCAGCAGCCCCGCTGGGGTCGCAGTTTGCGCGCCCGCCGCCTTTCAGGCGACTGTTCATCGTTGCTCCGCCCCCCAGGTGCAGTTCCGCAGCGGCAGGGTCGGCGTCCCTGGCAGCAACGTCAGCCTGAAGTACATCGCGGGCGATGAGGCCGACAAGGCCAGATTCTCACCGACGCCCTTCTCGACGCCCTCCTCCGCGCTCTCTTCATTTTCGCCCCTGCCTCGACGCCCCCTCCGCCCCCTGCTGCCTCGTTGCGCCCGATCGCTCCGAGGCCAGGGCCATCGCGGAGGCGGAGGAGCTGGTCAAGAAGGAGCTCGCCGCCAGGGCGCGCGGCGAGTAATTCGCGCTACGACTCTTCAACTCTCCAGGCCAACGGGGCGGCCTCGGGATAACAAAAAGGTCGTGGCGGATATGCCGCCTCGTGGCGGATATGCCGCCTTGTAGCGCAGCCTTCTCGCCTTCCAACTCGTGGCGGACATGCCGCCCCCGCCCCGCCCCTTTGCGCTCCTCCGCCCTTCAGGCGGGCATGCCGCCGCCCCCCTCCCCTACTCGGCCCACTCCGCGCCCCCGCGCCACGTCCCTGCGCCCCCCTCTCCGCTGTCAGGCACTGGATCCCACGCCAACTAACGTCGGGGAGACGCCCACTGCTCGAACGGCGAAGGCGTTCACCCAGAATGGCATGGGCGCGCGCGAAGGCACCGACGTTGCCACCGCCCGTTCAACGACGAAAACAAGTGAACCAAGACCTGCACATTCAAAGGGACGCCAGTTCACTTATATTTCTGGTTCCCAATGCCACCCTCACTCTGCCCCCTCCCCCGAGACCCCGTCGCAAGAACCAGCGGGGCCCTTCTGAGAGGCCCCCGAGGGCTCGAGGAGCTCCAAGACTTCAATGGGTCCATGGGCAACCCCCTCCCCCTCCTCCCGAAGTCTCGCTTCCGCGTCCGATTCCATTTCGGTTCAAGCCCGCGGCCCGCGGGTGCCCGCGAGCCCGCGCGGGGTCGGCCCCCCCCTTTCGCGCCGACGCGTGGGCTGGGGCCCGCGCGCCGAGGCTGCGCCGCAGCCACCGCGTCGCGCTCGGCGCCTCGCACTGCGGCCGCGGCCATGGCAGACAGCGACAGCGCGTTCGACGCGTTGGAGGCAGCTGCATCGCCAAAACAAGTGGCCCCGCGTGCGGTAGCCAGGGACGCGCGCATCGCGCGCGAAACTGGCTGGCCGCTCTCGGTCGAACTGTTTTGGCGATTCGGCGCAGGAGATGTTCGGGCCAGCGATGCAGTTGCTCTCCGACCTTGCGGGCGTGGACAACAACGCAGGGGATCGGTCTTCCTCCGCCAGCGGCAGTCGGCCAGCCAGCGCGCCCACGTTGGCGGCGCAGCCAGCGCGATCGCGCAGCCCGCGCCACCCGCGGGCACCGTCGACGCCGCCGCGCAGGCGGGGGCCGACGTCACCGCCGCGGGACCCGCGGCAGCGGCCTTTCCGCGCCCCCCGCCCTCGGCTCTCGTGAAGGAGCTCGCGTCGCACATGCGGGGCGCGACGCCTGTGGTGGAAGAGCCCCCCGAGGCGGTGGAGGCGCATCCCAGCGCGGTGGAGGCGTTCAGGACGCAGCTGCGAGCCTGGCTGAGCGACCCCGTTGGGAATCCCATCGACTGGCGGTCGGAGAACGTGCTCGCCGTGCTCAAGGAGTACCAGATGAAGTACGACTACAAGAAGTTCCGCGACCGCGGCCCGCCTGGCCCCGCCATGGGCGGGCCGCAGACGTGGCAGGGCCAGGCGTGGCGCGCCAATGCGAAGCGCTGGGGGAACCGAGGTGGCGCAAAGCGCGAGATGTACGCGAAGCTGCACGGCAACAAGGCAGCGCCGCGGGTGCGCGAGGCGCACGTCCCCAAGCCTCAGCTGATGCATCGGGAGCCCAAGGCGCCGAACTTGCCCAAGACGATGCCTCAGCAGGCGCCGTGGAGGACTGGCAATATGAACCCTCCAGTTCCGCCTCCGCCGCCGAAGACCATGGGGCCGCCGCCGCCGAAGACCAGGCAGCCGCCAGCAGGGAAGCCCAGCATGGTGCAGCCGAGGGCAGGGCGTCGGCTGCAGCCGACAAGCAAGATGGCACCACCGCCAGCGAAGCCGCGCCCGCCCGCCCGCCGAGATGTCTTCTTGTAGGGTGATCGCGTGGACCTGCAAGCGGGCTGGGGTGCATAGCTTCCGTAATTCGAGCGCGGATAGTTGCAGCTATCCGCGCTGACGCGTCATGACGCGCCGCCTCTCCCCGCCTCGTCTCATCTCATCTCTCCTCCCCTCTCTTCGTTGCCGATTTATCTCATTGGCGGACGCGCCGCCTCCCCCCGCCTGGCGGACAACCGCCGTTCAGATACGAGCATCGGCGCATCGGGTTTGTTCTATGCGGTTGGAAAAAAACACCAGTCCTTCCCTGAGCCACCCATTGGCGGCTAAACCGCCCTGAAGCCTCCATTGGCGGCCACGCCGCCCATTGGCGGCTAAACCGCCCATTGGCGGCCACGCCGCCCTGAGCCCTCCATTGGCGGCTAAACCGCCGCCGCCGCCTGCTGGCATCCCGAAATGTGCGATGCCACCGCGCCTCTTACACATGTATGTTTTTGTTGTTGGGACGCTGTATCGGCTCGAATCTAGGCGCGCACAGGCTCGCGCCCCACGCCGCCCCTGCGCTAGCCGTGCACTTCTCGCCCTGCCGCCATGGCAGGCCAGCAGGGCGAGAAGACCGTCATGTTCGGCTTCAAGTGCCCACAGAGCAGCAGCTGCAAAAGGGGCGGCAAGTGGTTCCAGGGAGAGACAGTGGAGGCGGCCAGGAACAAGCTGGTGAACCACCTTCGCGTGTCGCCGTACCACGACTTGAGCGAGGACGAAGCGGAGGTAGCTGCTGTCGCACTCGAGCCCGACTCGTGGGAAGTCGACCTCGCGGAGTGGCGCCAATGGGAGGAGGAGAAGGCCAACTGGGGCTCCGCCAAAAGGCGCAAGGGGGCGCCGAAGGTCGAGCTGGCGCCAATCCCTCCACAATCCCGCGTGGAGCGCTCGCACCAGCTGAAGGACGCGTTCTCGGAGGGCAGCGGATCGTCAGGCGCAGCTTCGTCAGCCACGGCGGGCATGAGGATGTCCACGGCGTTGGCCAGCCAGATGTCGCCCGATAGCATCGTGGTGCTCAACGGCACCCAGTGCCAGGCTGTGCTCGACTCGTTGCGCCGCGCGCGTACTGCGACGCAGATGTGCGCCCAGATAGCGGAGCGCGCGGTGAACGCTTTCCGCCAAGAGGAGCAATGCATCGCCGAGTGCGAGGACGTGCTCGCGAGCTGGCTGGTGCGCAACGCGACCTCGTAGGTGCAGGTGCACGGCTGGCAGCACTGATGTCGCCTCAGCATCAGTAGCCTCATTCGCGCAGGCGGCGCGACGCGTCGGCCCTACACGCCCCCCTCCCACTCCTCCAACGCAATTTCAATCCACACCCCTGTGTCAGAACAAATTAGGACACCCCCACACACTCCATCCGCACTCAATTCGTGAAGGCCGCCACGCCGAGGTGAATTTTGGCCACGCAGGCGGCCGAGTAGCCGTCCCCCAATGCAAGGCGATATGGGGGCGAGTGGACGAGCGGAGCGGGAGGAAGGTGAGGGAACTTCGGCGGATAAGACAGGTGGGCGGTTGGATGGGATTTGGCAAAAGGGCTGGGTGGAGAAAACTGCATCCGCATAAGAATGAGTGCGGCTATTTTCTGGATGTGCTGCATCGCCATGTCCGCCCACCCCCCCATCGCCTTGCATATGATGACGCTCAGGCAGCGCGCCCCGATTGCGCGCGCTCGCCCGTCTCTTCGCTGCCGCTCAGGCAGCGCGCCTCGCTTCCGCGCTCGCCCGTCTTTTCGCTGCCGCTCAGGCAGCGGTTTGAAGCACGCGGCGCCGTCCGCGGTCGGTAGCGCAGGGCGCCGCTCCGCCCCTGCTGCTCCGCTTAACTAACTCGGCGGACGTGCCGCTACGCCGCCGCCATGCACTGGCAAAAAAAAGTTGGCTGTTATCATATGTTAGCAGATGTTATCACGCGCCTGATAACACCTGATAACACCTGATAACACCTGATAACATGTTATCAGGTGTTATCATGTGTTAGCATGGTGTTATCACACGCCTGATAACATATGATAACATATGATAACATGATGTCAATTTTGTGTGGTTGTCATGTTGCGCGCAATTCATTTCAGTATCCGTATCACCTCGTGCGTCCGCCACGCTTCGAGCGGCTAGTCCGCTGGCGGCCAATCCGCCTCCCTCGCCGCGCCCCTGCACCCTCTCAAGCGGCGAGTCCGCTGGCGGATATGCCGCCCCCTTCATACCTCACTCCACCCCTCCCTCCACCTTTGAAGCGGCTATTCCGCTGGCGGCTATCCCGCCTCACTTACCGCGCGTTTTCTTCGTCATCGCTTCGCGTCCAGCTCATCTTGGCATCAGGGCCGCGCGCGACGCGCGGCTTCTCGCGTGCCAAGGCGGTCACGCCGCCATGGCGGGGACGCCGCCCGCTGAAGATCACCAGCAGCATTCTCTGGCAGTGATGTTCGGAGCAGCCAGGCCGAAAAACAAGGGAGTGATGACCAAGGCGCCCGCAGCGAAGCCCCGTGGGAAAGCTAAGCTATCGGGGACGCAGATGACACTGACTGGACAGCTTGTGCCGCCGCTCGCATTGACCGACGCAGGGCCGCCGAAGGCACGCGGGAAAAGCAAAGGCAAGGGCAAAGGTAAGCACCCCGCAGCGTTGAGGACGGCTCGCAAAGCTGCGTCAGCCGCAGCTCCCGCCGAAGAACTGCCTCCTCAGGGCGCAGCGGCTTTGCCACCAGAGCCGGACGACGCAGCGTCAGAGGCGGCATCGGGCTCCGAGGAGCGCGGCGACGAGATTGGTTCCGAGCTCGGCGTCAAACAGGATGAGCTTGAGAGTGCCAAGCGTGAGCTTGAGGAGGAAGAGGCTCCACCGCAGGGCGCGGTAGCCAAGGTTGAGAATGAGGAGCGCTCGCCCGAGGCGGCAGCGCCGCAGGCGGAGGAGGAGGAGGCAGCTCAGGACGATCCGCCAGCAGGCGCTCCCCAGGTAGGGGAGTTCGTGGATGTGCATGGCATCGAGGATAGCATCGTGCGTTGCAACCGCTGCTGTCGCACGGCAAAGGAGTGCAACTACAGGATCAGGGCGAAGGGCCAGTCGACTTACCAGTGCGACGCGTGCAACACGAACGGGGTGCGCCTTTCTCGGAGGTTCGGACAGTGGCCGCCAAAGTGTTTCGCCAAAATGAAGAGTGAGTTCAAGCAGCAGTTCTACAAGGATCTGGCAGAAGATCCTGGGCTGTCGAACCTCGATCGCATTGAAGCCTTCGTGGTCAGCTCAATCACTGTCCAACGGATGGAGGAGGAGCGCGTCCGCAAGGGTGGCAAGTACCTTCCGCTGAGGAAGTGGGCGCACGACGGCTTCGACGCGAAAAAGATTGAAGATAATGTGCAGGATAAGAGGTGGAACCCTGATCTCGGGGAGTGGACGTACAGGCCGCAATTGGAGGCGGCCTGGAGCGAGACAGTGGAGGCCGCAGTGCGCAACGAGCTGTACACCGATAAGAGGACGCAGGCGAAGCAGAGCGGCCCGCGGGCAGCGGCCTCGACGGGCGTCGCAGAGCACGGCGGCGACAAGGGCGACAGAAGCGACGAGAGCGACATGTCCAGATCCAGGCGGCGCCGCAGGCGCAGGTCTGACAGCCGCAGGAGGAGGAGGCGCAGCATGAGCAGGCGCGACAGCAGGGGCAGGCGCGACAGCAGGAGCAGACGCCGCGACAGACGTCGCGACACCAACCGCAGCAGGAGCCGCTCGCGCGGCGACCGCGACAGGAGCAAGAGCCGCCGCAAGGGCAGGAGCAAGAGCCGCGGCAAGAGCAAGGACAGGAGCAAGAGCAGGCCGTTTGGGGGTTCAACGCAGGGGTGTCGCCTGGGCTTCGCATTCGTTTTCGGTTTCCGTTCAACTCTTCAGGTTCGGATCGGGTTATTGATTTCGCTCGGCTCGAAGTGTTGTCATTTTCGGACAACCCCGAAGGCTCCGCAGGGATAAGGACGCTGAGAAGGAGCGGAGGCGACAGGAAGCGAGGGAGAAGGCCGAGCAGGCCAAGAAGGAGACGCAGGAGAAAAACCTGGCGCTGAAGTGGATCGGCACCGCAACGAGGCTCGAGACAGAGCTGGACGGGTACCTCGAGCATGAGAAGGCGGACAAGGTGCCGTCATGGGCTGTGAAGAACGCGAAGGCGGCGAGGAAGTCTGTGGCAGTCATGAAGGCGGTGGCGCAGAAGCGCGTGCACAGCGGCGTGGCGTTGACGATCACGCAGGACGAGGCCATCAGCATCCAGAAGGATGCGAGCTCGGCGGCGAGGGCCATCGCGGGGATGCTCAAGGAGGCGCAGAAGCACAGCACCTGAGCGCCCCATGGTGGCCCAGTACATCATGAAGTACGGCCTGAAAAAGGTGGAGAAGGACCCGAATAAGCCGCGGCCGCTGGGCCGCTCGTGAGCAGGGGCGGCAGTTGGGCCGCTCCTGACGAGGTGTGTGATTTCGTACAATTGTTATTGTTGGTGAAACAACATTTCCACCGCCACCCCACTCGTTACCACCGCAGCCCTTCGTTTGGCGGGGATGCCGCCTTTCCACTCTCGCAAGCCCTTGGCGGACATGCCGCCTTGCCTTCATTTGGCGGAGATGCCGCCTTTGCTGCTCATCGCGCTCCGATGCCTCACTTGGCGAGGCGAAGCGCTTGCATAACTCCCTCCTGCTCGAGCGCGTCCTGCCCGAGACCCTACCGCGCGAGCTGTGGCTCGCGAAGGCCAGCGACACCGTTGGGAATCCCATCGATTGGCGGTCGGAGACGAAGCAGAGGCGAAGCAGCTCCTTGGCAGGGGCGGCAGTTGGGCCGCTCATGACGAGGTGTGTGATTTCGTACAATTGTTATTGTTGTTGAAAAAAACATTTCTTCGTTGCCATCGCCACCCCACTCGTTACCACCGCAGCCCTTCGTTTGGCGGGGATGCCGCCTTTCCACTCTCGCAAGCCCTTGGCGGACATGCCGCCTTGCCTTCATTTGGCGGAGATGCCGCCTTTGCTGCCCACCGCGCTCGCACCGTTCTCTCGCGTTTCCCAATGACATGATCTGCCACCGTCCCACCCCTCATCCGTAGTCTTTGTGGCTCAAGTGGAGCCGCTCGAGGTCGTGCCCCTTCGCGGTCTTGCGCCGCCATGGCGAGCATCGCGGACAAGTACGACGTCGATGACTTCGAGCTCATCACGGGTGGCAGTGCGTGGAGCTGGGCGACCATCGTGGCGCGCTTCATCGAGTGGCGCAATCGTTGCCGCCATGCACGCGCCGTTGGCATCAAGGGCCAGATGCTCATCGACAAGGCGCGGCGCATGATGGAGGAGGCGCGCCGCACCGAGGAGCGCGGCAAGATGCTGTGCCAGATGTCGAAGCAGACGGTGCAGGACATCCCAGGCGGCATTCGGTTCTTCTGCCGCCAGCCGCACCAGGAGAGCTGAGCGGCGATCGGCTGGGCCGATAGAGGAGGATAAGGAGGAAGAGGAGGCAGGATGAGGAGAGGAGGAGGAGGTGGATGAGGAGTTGGAGGCAGCACGCGCACCCGCACTAAGAGCCGCCAGCCGCCGCCGCGCCCGTCCCGCGCTGCGCCCGCCCCGAGCTCGAGCCGCCAGCCGCGCCCGTCTCCGAGCGCTGGCGGCTTGGAACCCGAGCTTGAAACTCAAGCTCGAAATTGCGTGCGAGAAAAAGAAATCTCCCTTGCAAGTTCCGTTGCTACGCTCACTTCGCGCCTCCGCAATCTCCCCCACCCACCCCCTCCCCCCTCCCCCCTCCCCCCATGCCCCCTCGCCCCCACGCTCTTCGGCGGCTACGCCGCCCCTCCCGACCCTTCAGGCGGCTACACCGCCATGCCCTTCGGCGGCTACTCCGCCCCGCGATCCATTCCCGCCTCCACTTCCGTCTCTCTGGCTGCAATTCGTTTTTCTCAACCGCGCTGGGCCTCGCGCTGCCCCCCGCCCCCGCCCCTCCCGCGCGCGGGCGTCGGCGCAATGGGGAAACGCGCCCTGCAGGTGGACAAGCAGGTGGAGCAGCGGGCTCGACTGCAACAGTGTCTGGCCCTGCGCGGCGTGTCCGCGGCTTTGCTCGAGCGAATCGTGACTGCGCTTGGCCATGGCGACGACGCGGGCGATGCTATAGACGTGAGCGCTCGGGCCATGCAGCGATCGCAGACGGCATCCGTGGCCGATCTCATCAGCGCAGTGCGGCTGCAGCCCAAGATCGGCACGCCTTTCCGATGGAGCGTGGCGCTGCCGCATCGGCTGATGCCGAGGCTCCTGTCGGACTGCCCTCTCTGGAGTTCAATGTTTTGGGAAGCGATGCGCCGTTTCCCTGTGTCGCGCGATCGGCCGTGGAGGCTTTTGCTGTACTACGACGACATTGGCGTGGGCAACGCCTTGAAGATAGATAATCGTCGGAATCAGCTCGCGGTGTATGCGAGTTTCCTCGAGTTCGGATCCTTCTTGCAGAAGGAGGTTGCGTGGCTGCCGATCGGCACCTTGCGCGTCGTCGTGAAGAAGAGCATCGGCGGCTCGGCCGTGGCGCGGGCATTGCTTCGCGCGCTGTTCCTGGGCCCAGAGAGTCTGTCGGAGCACGGTGCGCCAATCGGCGGCGTGCACTTTTTCGCCAAGTTCCACCGCTTGATTGCAGACGAGGCGGCTGGAAAAGAGACATTCTGCACCAAGGGCGCTGCAGGTCTGAGACCGTGCTTGCAATGCAAGAACGTTGTGCTGGATCAGGCGGAATGTCTTGCAGACTACGACGACGATGATTACCTCGTGCCTCTCTGGTGCGCTGACTCGTCGCGCTTTGACCCGCTGTCGTCAGACGAGTTTTTGCAGCAATATGATGATTTGGCGTCGCTGCGGGACACGACAACCAGAGCGAACATCGAGAGACTGGAGCCAGGGAGGAAAACATTTCCATCGATCCCCTTCTGATGTCCCCCCCTTCCTTCCCTTCTGATGTTCCGGCCCCCGAAGGAGACGGCAATGGGCATCACTCTGGATGACCGTTCTCTGGTGGCGTGCCAGGCGTTGCGGACGGTGGCGCCGCCGAGCACATACGTGAGGGACCCCATGCATACCATGCTGGCCAGCGGCGGGACCTTGCAGGTCGAAATCTTTGCGCTCCTCAAGGCGGTGAGGGATGTCATCCCCGACGCGTGGGGAACGTGGCGGGATCGCTGCTCGGCGTGGCGGACTGGCAGACGCGGCAGGAAACCGCCAGCGTTTCTGTTCAGCGTGGCTCGGAAGAAAGCGACCTGCAAGGCGTCGCACTTCGTGGGCAAGGCGTCGGATTGCTTGGCCGTGTTCCCTTTGATTCGTCATTGGGTGCACACAGAGCTGCGTCCCAGCGGCATGGCGAACGCTGCGGCGCGGTCGTTCGAGGCGATGGCGAAGATGCTCGAATTGTACATGCAGGGCAAAAGGACATGCGGCCGCAGCTGAAACGCAAACGCTGGCCTGCGCGTTCGAGGATGCACCGCGTCGGCCCGCGCGCATCCTCGAGCGCTTAGGTGGCAGGCGGTTCGGCTACGTCCTGAGGATCGGCGCCGTGCCGAATTTGATAGCTGTCTGGACCAAGGCCGTTTCGATTTCCTTGGCGCTGCACAAAGCCGCGCACGGGCCAGCCCTGATCAAGCCGAAGCATCATTATTTGTGGCACGTCCCCGACCAGCCTGCGGAGGACGGCATCTGGTTGGACGCCTTCGTACTCGAGCGGAAGCACAACCTGCTTCGGTCCAGGTCGCAGGAGATCGACAACCCTGAGAATTTCGAGCGGTCGGCCTTGACGGCGATGCTCGCCTGCTTCCTGGAGGAAGCGAAGGAGGCGCCGCGCTCCCGCGCCAAAGCGTGGCGCACGCCAGAGCTGGACAGTACGTTCGGGCACTCGGGGCGCAACCTTGCATGCCCTTTGTGGAGGAAGATGGGCTGGGAGAGGGGAAGGCGGTTTGCCGCCGAGGCGGCTCGCCGCCAGGAGGAGGAGGAGGAGGAGGAGGAGGAGGAGGAGGAGGAGGAACCCCTCCGCAGGGCTGAAACGTGGACCAGCAGAGAGGCGTCGATCGACGGCCAGATGTACGGCAGCCAGGACAGACGGCGCAACCAACCTTGGTATTTAGGGGTGCACATGCGTGTGCCCCCCCAAAAATCGAGGCGTTGCTGCCCTCAGGATTTTCTCCTGGGCGACGGCGAGGCGTGCATCGTGCATTGCTGCGCGCAGGCTGGCGCCGCCAGCTACCTGCTGGTGGAGACCCTGGAATGGGTGCGCGCGCCATGCCCAGGCGCGTCCCTGTGGCGGCCGCGCGGCGACGTCGCCGTGATGCCCGCCGAGCTGATCCCGCCAGCCTGGGCGGCTTATCGGCGACTACAGGACGATGGCTATGTGCTCGCCATCACGTGAAAAAGGAAAAAACGAGCGCATGCGAGAGCGGATATGCCGCTGGCGGATGCGCCGCCCTTCGATAGAGAGGTGCAGGAGGGAGGGGCGGATATGCCGCCGAAGAAGGAAGGCGGGCTCGGGGAGGGAAGGCGGCAGGAGGGAGCGGGGGCGGGCTGGCCGCCGACAACGAGGAGAGGAGAGGGGAGGCGGTGATGGCCGCCGAGGGGAGGCAGTTTGAAGAATAGTTGATCCCCCCCCCTCTCCCTCTCCCCCCTTCCCCTCCGCGCCCCGCAGGCGTCCTGAGGGCGGCTCGGCGCGTCGACCTGCGGCGCCCTGTCCTGAAAAACTGTTGTGTTGTAGTTGTTAAAACGTTTTTTGTGGTTTTTTCCCGAAACATAGCAATATCAAGAACAAACATGCAAAACATAGAAAGTTATGCAAATTTCGGGTTAACCGAATCGGACAGCCCACATCGACTTAGCTGACTTAGCTACTAAGTTGGGTATGTTGAGGTGTATGTATCGATATATCTTGGCAGTGGTACCCGATAGCTCAGTTGATAAGATGGATGGTTCTGTGAGTAGTATGTATGGTATGTTGTTGAATATACTTATCTAACAAAACGTTAGTAGATGAATGCGAAGTTCGATATTTTATATATGTTGAATATGTGAGGTCAACTAGCATGAACCTACATACATCTTCGTTGAAACGATTTCATCGGATATACAACGCTCTTACCGCACTTACACCCACCCGACGATCAAAGAGGCCAGCAGGCGCTGCGAGGCGCCCCTGCCGGGGCCCAGGAGGACGGCTTCGGCGGCGGCGGAGGCGGCGGCCGCGGCAGCGGCGGCGACGAGGGCATAGCAGGCGGGGGCGGTCGGGGACGCGGCGACGGCGGCAGGGGCCGCGGCCGCGGCGCCGGCGCCCCCGGGGCCACATGATGGGGCCGCC